ATATATATATATATATAACTATATAGAATAAAATTTATTATGTGTTTTTTTATAAGTTAAAATACTCGTATTTATATATAATTATATTTTTATATAAACTTATTAAATAGATATGATACTCCTAATCTTATCGGACAATACGCTATATGTTGGAAAAACTAATTATATAGTGAAAGGCGTGAGGAAAAAAAATGAAAAGAAGGGAGTTTAGTTATTGAGGTATACTTAAAAAAGGTGACAATAACCTTATAATTTGCTCAAATTAATGAGAAATGATTAATTACTCGCGAGTAGCATCTGTTTATCACTATTACAGAATAGTAAATTTACGTTGGTTATTTTTAGGGATTTTACGTCAGAAAAGGTTCCGACGTAGAAGCCGAAGACGTAAATTTACGTTGGCCGGAAAAAACCGACGTAAATTTACGTCGGACATACATCTGTTTTTCGAAGATGATGTTTTGTTTTTCATAGAAGGAAAACCTACGCAATTCAGGCATATGATTTCCCTGCTTGACAGGTTCGCCTTAGCATCTGGGTTGTGTGTCAATCCTGCCAAATCAAGGGCATTTGCGTCGAGTGGCATCCCACCTAGTCGTAGACAAAAATTATCACTCATTTCAGGTATAGCCTTTTCGGATAATATTGGGCCTTACTTGGGCTTTCGGTTGTCTATGGGAAGGATCACAAACAACATGTTCTCACATGTGATTGACAAGGTGCGATTACTAATTCAGTATTGGCGTCACTACCATCTTACACCATGCAGGTCCAATGGCTCCCCCAACATGTTTGTGATACTTGTGACAAAATGGTTCGTCAGTTTATTTGAAATGGAAACATGCAACGTGGGTTCCACTTGGCTACTTGGGATGTCATTACGCAACCAGACAAATTTGGTGGTTTGGGTGTCCACGTGGCTTGCCTCCAGAATACAACACTCCTAGGGAAGCTAATTTGGGAGTGCTATAATAATGAAGGGAAGTTATGGGTTCATCTAGTTAAAGCCAAGTATAAAAAAATAAGTTACAAATTGATGGCTATATTATACTTGAAATAAAGACTTTTAAATTTGGACCATTGTTGTTTAGTTATACAAAAGTAATAAAAATTTAAACTTATCTCATTTTCGGTTGGGTTCGATTTTTAGCGGGTTTAAAAATTCAAAACCGAACCCGCCCAATATAACCCGTATAAAATCAAAATTTTAACCCGATTTACCTATAAGACCCGCCCGAACCCACCCAAAAACAATATTTTTTTTCGGGTTTTTCGGGTTCGGTTCGGGTGTCGGTTTAATGCACACCCCTAGATCTTATACAATAAACTTTTATGTAATAAAAACTTATATTATAAATACTTTAAATTTAATAAATTATTATATTTGGATATACATATTAATAAATACTCATATAATTTTAAAGTGTTTAGATATATTATTATTTAAGTACTTATAAAATGTTATCTTATTTTAAAAATTAAAAATTAAAAATTAAATTTTAACTGAAGGTAAAATAAAAATATAAAAGTAACTAAATAATTTTTAAAAATGACATCATCCATCACAATAATATTAAAAATAATAAAACAGCACTAATCACCATTCACCTAATTTTAATTTATAAAAAAATAAAATTAATAATAAAATATAAGAAATTAATTTTTCTATATATATAACTATGATTAAAAATTAATAGTCATAATTTTTAAAAATTAAAAATAAATTCTATATATATTTTATAAACTAAAAAAATTATTGTATAAATATGAACAAGAAAATTATTTCAAATATGCTATTTTAAAAAAAAAACATAGTTACAAGTTTTTCTTTTATAATAAGAAAATTATTGCATATACTAATTAATAAACTATATTGAACTGTTTATTAAAATAAACTCAAAACATCTTATATACTATTTATAAAATATTTTATAAATTTATCCAAATACTTTCATAAATATTTATAGAATAAGATAAATAAAAATAAATTGTTCATAAATTTTTTTAAATATGATTAAATTTTTATATATTAATTTAAACATAATTTAATTTTAACTTTAAAAAAAAATTATTTTATCGAAACCAGCACTTTACAGTTAAGGCACTGGTTTAATACATAAGGTATACGACACGTGCGTTTGTATATAGGAGGTGAGGAGTAGATATTAGCTGTATAAATAGAAGAAGATGAGTTTACGACTTCTCCAACTCCATGACACAATCAATCATCTGAAACGCTGAATAAATCCACCCTTTTTCATTTTGTGTTGGTGAGTTTGATTTTCTCCAATCATTTTGTTCTCTAATCTCTCTCTCTCTCTCTCTATACACATATATATATATATATATCCTCTTTCTCTTTCAAGTTTCAAGATATATGAGAAGAAGAAATTTATAAGATCCATATATGATGTACTAACATTGATTCATGAGAAGACAATGGAAGAAGCGTGGAGTTGGTTGAAGCTCTTCCGCGTCTTTGTGGCGGTCATGTCTTTGTCTTTGTCTCTGTCTCCCTTCACCATGGAACCTGTTTCGTCTTCGACTCTCAATACCCAAGGTCTCTCACACTCACTGCTATTGTTGCATGTCTTTGTTTTTTGAGGTTGTTTCCTAGATTTATGAGATGGGTTTTAGACGATCCATGATCATGTGTAAAAACTAGCTAGCTTATGTATATTTTTATTAACATGATAAAAGTTAAGGACATTAATTGAAATCGTACGTAATTAAGTTTTGAAGATGTGGTGTAGGGTTGGCGTTGAAAAAGATGAGAGAGAGGTTGGTGAGAGACCCAATGGATGCTTTGTGGAGTTGGAATGGCAAAGAAGAAGGAGGGATTGATCCTTGCTCATGGTTCGGAGTAGAGTGTTCCCATGGCAATGTTGTATCCTTGTAAGCAACTTCTCACTCTTCTTCTTTACGCTAATTCTCTTCATATCATCTTGCTTTTCACCTCATCCATTATTCACAAATCTTACTTCAACTTTTCTTTTAGTGCTTTTGTTATTTATTAATGAATTTGTCGCATAAAATTTTCTTTTTTATTGGATATATATTACATCAAATTCAAATGTTACAGTAAGATTGATTTAAACCGACAAAATTTGACATTGTTAATGATGGTTGAAATGGTCAAAATGATTAATTTATTTATTTATTATTATAATAAAACAAATTATTTTAAAAACATTTACAAACTAAAGAAGCAAAAATAAAAGATAACAAAATTCATAGTTGTTACATGGAAAAGAAATATAAAGTTAGATTACAAAACCATAAGAAATCACAGTCACACAAAATGTACTCAAAATGAAGATAAGAAGATGGAAAAGAAAGATGGAAAAGAAAGACAAAGAAAGAAGCAAAAAGACAACTCTAAAAATGGACTAGTGTGTTGAGAAGTTGAATGAGGAAGGAGAAGACAAAATAAATATCTAAGTTATGAGAAAAAGGAAAAAAATAAGTTACAAATTGATGGCTATATTATACTTGAAATAAAGACTTTTGACAACCGATGTAGATTTGAACGCAAATCTACATCGGTCTATTCTACATCAGTTATAAAACCGATGTAAATTACCTTCCAGAACCGATGTAGAATAGTGCTTTTGTAGTAGTGATGACAAGTCCGACGTAAAAAATTGTAAAAAATTTTATAAAAAAAAAATGACTGCAAGCAGAACGGGCCGTTCTGCTTGGAGAATGGCCCGTTCTCCAAGCAGAACGCCTCGTTCTGCTTGGAGAACGGCCCGTTCTGCAACCCGGACTTGGCTTTTCTTCTGGTTTTTCCTCTGGCTTCTCTTCTCTTCTCTTCTGGTTGTTCCTACTCAAAATATAAAAATACAAAATACACATTTAGGATAACACTATCAGCAAGAAAAAAAGTTTTACTAGGAAATCACAATGTCAACAGAAAGTTTTGCTTCCTCACCCATTTGCCGTATGAATGGAAGAACCGAAGGAGTAGGAGGCGGAGAGATTTACACAACGCGCGAGAGAAGGAAGGTTTTGAAATCTTCAAATCTCCTCCAGCAAGTGTGAAGCGCGCGGGAGAAGGAAGGTTAATTTTGAAATCTTCAAATCTCCTCCAGCAAGTGTGAAGCTTCATTTAAGTGCAGTGAAGTGGATTATTTACGTCGGCCTGGTGGGGGTCCGACGTAAATTAGCAAATCTACGTCGGCTTCTATATTGCTCCGACGTAGAATTGCTAATTTATGTCGGACCCCTACTAGACCGACGTAAATTAGCTCTCTTTATTTACCATTCTGCCACTGCATTTTTATAACGTCGGTGTTGGCCTATTCCGACGTAATTTAGGTGACGTAAAAGGCTCTTTTTGCACTAGTGAAAAAGAGTTTACAATTTTTGTTTTGTGAATAAATATTCAAGTTTATGCAGGACTTGACTGATGGAGTATTGGTGGAAGCAGGATAAGTTTCAAAACCATATAATAATATGGTGCAAAGAAGTTAATTATGCCAAAAGAAAGCCAAATATTACTGGCTCATATATATATATATATATATATATATATATATAGATTAGGGCAAGGCACGACTCCATGCAAAGCCATGTTGGATACTTGGGATTCACACACACATCTTTACAATGGTACGATATTATCCACTTTGGGTTTAAGTTCTTCATAGTTTTGCTTTTAGTCATCTCCTAAAAGGTCTTATATCAATGAAGATTATGTGTGTTTTATAAACCTATCTTTTCTTTTCATGATCTAATGATGTGAGACATTGTTTGTACTCCAATAAATCTCTTCTCAAATAAAGGATCATGGTTTAATCTCTCCTTCAGCGAAAATCTTTTTTTTCATCTACAAGTATTCAATGTTAGTCCTTAGAGTTATGGTCACACTTGTCAACTTTAGATACTTGCACCATTGTTAGCTCACTTCAACGGGACACATTGCTTGAACTCCACATCGCTAGGAAAACTTTCAAAATAAGGGATCTCACATTTGGATCCATTGCCTCCTATTGCCAAATACTCATTTGAGACTCTAAGTAGGTCACTTGGTTGACTATTGGCTCTGATACCATTGTTGGATACTTAGGGTTTACACAAACACATGTCCTATATCACCCTCATGTGGCTTGAACTATATTTGTATTAACATACACTTTATTATTGATTAAAATTAATTTATTAAAATTATAAAATTAAGAGAAATATTCAATACTAAAAATTGTACTCAAAAGAATGTATTAGAAAATACATTATTAACGCTTCTCATAATTATAAATTATTATAAAAATAATTAATAACACGTAGATAGTTGTCAAATGGAAATTGGGTGAGAGTATAGTACTCTTATTCTATTCACACAAAAAAACTAGTACTCTTAGACTATGTAATATATAATTTCTACAAATTAAATGACACTTAAAAGGCACATTTTGTAGTAATTAATGTAGTGCCCTACTTGCTAGTACATTCACAAAAGAGAAGGAAAACAATTCAAGAAGTTGCAAAGAGATCGAGGAAAACAATTAACTGAGACGAATTCTCAATAAAATTTATATTTCTTTATAAATTTCAGCTGATAATAGATAAAAATAATAAAGAAAAGTTTGCTAATATTTATCAAAGAAGCTATTACTTCTAAGTTTTACTCCCTTCAATTTTTTTTAAACTAAGATATATTTCGACCGAATGCTAAAGATTAATTTTTGAAATACTAACATTTATTTAAGGAATTAATATATTTCTTTACAAATGTTTTTCTTTACATATAAATTATGGATCAAATTTTTAACAACATGCTAAAAAGATAGAGTTGTTTATCAATCATATCACATCATGTTTATTATTTTAATATCATTACAAAAAAATGTTACATACTGAAATATATAAAAATTTTATTACATATACAAAATATCTAAGTATATATAAATATATTTTACATATAATTATACATAATTTTAGTTTTAATTTTATATAAAATTTAACAATACATATTATGTGTCATTATAATATATACTTACACTCTTTAATAATATACCAATATATATTATATCTTTAGGTTAGATAAAAATTATTTTTAACGACAAATATTGTGTTTCTATAGAGTATGTGTCACTCTATATGACATTTTGTTTTGTAGTGTATCAATGTAAAAAAAATTGTTTTAAATTTCACAAATGTCACCATATTATCACTTTCTATATCAGTTATTACACAAACGGTTTTAAAAGATGATGTAAAATCACATTTTTTACTAGTGATTATTATAAAAAAAATAAGAAGATAAAATAATAAATAAACTTTTTCATAAGATAAAATTAATTTATATATCAATATATTTATTTATTTGTTTAATTTTTTCAAAGTTGATCTTAATTTATATGTAATTTAATTTGTAACTATATTTCACATTTCATATTACTATAGAACCCATCAATTTTTTTAATACGATCTGTAACGTAGTAAGTTATTGTTTAGAGTCTAGTTAATACTAGAGAGAAGAGTATATAAGACTTTCTCTGAGAATGAAACCTCATAACTCATTCTCAAAGAAATTCTAGAGAGAGGTTTTAGAGAGAAGGACTCTAGGTCCGTGAGTTCCTTTCTCTCCTAAATTTCTCTGTTTTATTCTTTTTCTTCTCTAAATTACTAATCTCTTCTATCTCTTCTTTGAATTCTGGCTAGAAAGTGTGATTTAGTGGATTGAAGTCTACGGGTCAATCGTTCAGAAATTCTTCTCCTTCTTCCTTTTCTTAGCTATTCTAAGCAAAATCTCAGGTAAGGGAAGCTAGGATTTGGGGTTTTGGGTTGGAATTGTGGGGCTATTGAATGAATTGAAGGTTAATGTTGGTAGATTTGTGAAATGTACACAATGTGGAAAGGATTCAAAGGGATTTTGTGTGGAAATGGGGGTTTTGTTGTTCTTGAGGCAAAGTTGAAATTTGATGATCTTCTTGAATCATTGTGGATGCATGTCGTTCTTCTTTGATTTTGAGTTATATGATGTTAATGCTTGAATTATTTGGGCTTGCATGTCTTGATCCTTACATGGATTGAGAGGATTGGGAGATTTGAGTTGTTCATATGATGGTATGAATTTTCTGGGTTTGGGACACTAAGCATGGGATTCTGGGGCTTAGCGTGAAAATTTTGAATGCTGCTGGAACTCTGAGGTTAAGCGTGGGATCGTAAGCTTAGCATGAGAGTGAGATGTGCCTCTGGAAGCAGGTCAGAGTTATGAATTTTCTCATCCTTGTATGGTTTTTTGTTGAATTCTAGCTTACTTTATTTTCTGTTTCCATGTGGATGGACTGCGATGATCGTATGGGAGCAGGTCAGAGTTGTGATGACTGTTGCAGAGGTGTAGGATTTTTGGTCCTGATGTCCTATTAACATAGGATGTATTAGTTTTAGGGCTTGACTGACACCAGGACATTACCATGATTTTGGATGACTGTATATATTTATATACATATTTTCTAGGTGATTTGTATCTGTATAAATAGAAGTTTTATTTATTTTACTTGTATATCGATATATGCATTATTATTCAGTTAATGATTATCCTAGTCGACTAATATAATTATATGATTCACAAGATGTAAAGACCATGGTGAGTCGTTACACGATCAACGCATGACACACTCAAGTTAATATTCAAATATTCAATGACGATCGAATGACACCATAACTCTTAATTTATTCAAATATTCATCGTTATCTGACCGGTTCAACTAATGATAGTGGCTTAAAACAAAATTTTAGAGACTTTTATATTTTTTAAAAAAATTATATAGATCTTTTACTAATATATGTTTTCTTTTTTATTTTACAAAATTAAATAGTAAATAATTCTTAGTTGATAGGTTTAAAATTTGAACTTTAATAATCTTATCCTTCAACTGACTTGATTGTCATTGGTGAGCACAGTTTTTTGCTATAGCAGAATGGTGTGTAATTAATGCATGCAGCCCTGCATGAAGGATGCACACATATTGTTTGGTAACCATCACGTGAAGAACCAACTGCAGCCAGAGCTAG